GACAATTTTTTTATTTTTTTGAGGTGTCGAGTGACGTGTATTTTAATTTTTAAAAATCTCAAATTATATCTAAACTATCAAAACTATATCAAAATTATATCTAAACTATCAAAACTATATCAAAATAATATCTTTTTTCATTTTTTTCGCGAGTTTCTCATAATATTTTAAAAATTTCAAAGTTTACGGTATGTTAAATATCTAAGTATACAGCTACTTTATATGATGGCTGCTCCAGATGCAATATATACACTATTGCCAATTGTTTAAATCTTTTATATACTATATAACTTTTTGAATAAATTTACTAATATTGATACAACTACTAATTATTTTGATTAAATTACTATAACATGGTTTTAAAGCACATGCACAGCAACAACTAATTGCAATATGAAATCATTTTATAATGCTTTTTTTTTTTATCATCTAACGTACCTCTGTAACTATAATAAATAAAATTTAGAAAATACATAGACATATGTCAGACCAAAAAGACAAAATAAACAATAAAGCCTTTTCAATCCATATTAATCTCATCTAGACCCGTATCATTATGATGTTCAGGTGCACCAAATCCTGTAGCTGAATGAAGAGAATGAATTCGATGTTGCTGTTCAATAAAGAATGTTGCAGATTGTGTTCGGGGTCGGACGAGAACTTGTTCAGCATTGTTAAGATAAACAGTTTCAGAAAACATATTTTGAGAGGGACTAGCAATTCGGATGAGGGGTACAAGGAGGCTTCCTGTTTTCAGAGGGACGAGGGTTATTGGAAATTCCTTAGTTTCCCCAACCTATGTTAGTTTAAATTTTATATTAAATTTAGAGTGACACGGCTTAAACTTTAGTTATAATAATAAATTTATGAAAACAAACTTTCGATGAGAAACATAGTTTCTTATGCCCAGCCAATAGCCAATTATCAAAATCTACATGGACATCATAAAAGAATTCAAAAGTGTCTTTGTGCTCTGTTAATGATGTATGATTCCAGTATGATGAATGTCGAATAATCAAGCGACAATGACATGGCTCTCCAACTACCAAATCATTAGGTTTTGATATAATCAATTCCACAGTATTTAGCACCTAATGATATAAGTGAAAATAAATTTGTTTTTAAGCAATAAAAATAATAAAACGAGGTTTTCAGAAAATTGTTTTCATACTTTAGATGAAGGTACATCAACAGGAAATGATATTGAGGATTTGTCATGATTAGCAACAGCTGCAATGTCATCATATACGGCTTTATTGCAGACCTAGTGTTAAAATTATAAAATTTAGTAATTAATTATAGATTAATTATAGTTAGTAGCTAATGTCAGATATTAAAAAAAAAAAAAAAAGACAAGACTATTTTCACCTGCCAAAATTCCTTGACAACCTCTATTAACGATTCTTTGAAGCTACCATGGCTCGTAAACAAAGCCACGCACTGCGAAACATCCAATTCACCCAAATCTAATGTATCTGACATTCCATATGAGACATAGTCTACTGATTTAAGTAAATGTTCTTTAGCATTCTCGAGAAGGAACCGTGAATGTTGTAATAAATTTCTAGCTTTCAAAATCTTATTTAAAGTATGCTCTATATATTTCTCCACCTCTAATCATAAAAAAAATATTAGTAAATAATTGAAATTATAAAAAATGTAATTTTGTAATTAAAAGTAATTTGTAGATTATTTGTTAAACAATTTACTACCATTTTGAAGTGTTCGGTATGTGACTACGAAATGAACTTTGGTACTTGGTGATTTCGCATGTTCTCCATGATCATAATCTATGAATTTCAAGATATGAAATCATATGATATACTAATTTTTAAGAATTAATCATTTGTTCAATTATAATACCTTTTGATCTAGTTAATTTGTAAACAAATGAGGCATGTTGCTTGGCAAATAAATTCTTTGGATAGAAATCGTTAGTAGCATTAATACTAGTTAATTTTTTAATCGGAATGATAGAATAGACATTATTATGTAGCTTACTATAACCGGCGTCGATACAGCTGGATCATCCACCACATCATACACTTTTGACGGAGCCAGGGAAGTTTCAAGAATTCGTATCGGAATACTTCCATTTAACGTGATGTCCATCTTTACAAATAAACTTTAAAATAATAATGTTATAATTTCATTCAGATGCTGTAAAACTAATATGAAAAAAAAAGCCAGGTTTATATTACCAATCATCTCTAAAAATGTTTAATTCTGTAACCGATAAGGGTAACCAAACTTTGACAGTATCTAAGGATGTGAATACACGCGATTTTCCTTTACTCTCATATTCAACAGTAACTTTCACCTGGTAAAATGGATAGGGATTAAGAGTTGGCAAAGCAATTATATAGAGCAATATTATGATTAAATAATAATAAAACCTTATGTTCAATAGCACCCCAATTACAATCGTATGGTACTTTGAACTGGCTTAATTGGTTCGTATGCAACGAAGGTAATTCTATATGCCCATTTTCCAACACTTCCAAATCCTCCTCCGAAAGAATGTCGTGTGATATTACATCATCTATAAAAATGAATAATATTTTTAGTATATTCTGATACATATATATTTTGATAACGAGCGCTAACTTTTATAAATGGAATCTAACTAAATTTTTAATGTTCCATGCATATAGCATCATATGATCAATCATTCAATGATAATCCAATATTTGGTAATTTAAATCAGAAAAATCTCCAAACGTAAACTATGCCGATAATCAAACCATTTGATATATTAGCCAACAAATACGCAACATATTTAAGCTGTTGCAAGTCTTAAATTGTGCGTAAACATTTTTTCGATAAGCATACATTACCAATGCATACGCAATATTTTTCGTGTTAAAAATGATTGAATGGGACGCAATTGCATATTATTTATTATTAATCTTTCGTCACATCTGACGTTGATGCTGATTTTTAGGGTTATTTTAGTATAGAATTTTACAATTTTGGGATCATTTTTTTGGGGTTAGAATTGTATAAAAAAAAAAAATAATCATACACAGCGCATTTATGGAGTTGTATTAAAATATATGTAATTTGAACTTTTTTTTTAATTTTGAATAACCTTTGATCTATTGATCCATTTTGATGATTTTACTACCAAAATTTTCGTATTAATAAGACGATTCTGACAAGCCCAAAATCATCCGAATTCAATTACTAGATCCCGAGACCGTTAAGACTTTTGCAGAGGTGACGTACCTATAGGGTGGGAGAAATGTGCTAGACCGCGTCTGGCCCATTTCCTCACCTCATAGGTGCGTCAACTTTGCAAAAAAAAAAAAACCTATAAAGTGGTGCATTACCAATAGAACTGCTGATTCCTGTTTTGATGGTGCTGTTCCTGTGGCTGCTCCATTAGGCCAGTCTGCTTCAAAATTCCCTTAACGATCTCGGGATCTAATGATTGGATTTTGATGATTTTGAGCTTGTTAAAATCGTCTTATTAAGACGAACATTTTAGTAGTAAAATCATCATTAAAGGATCAACAGATCAAAAGTTATTCAAAATTTAAAAAATGTCAAATAACATATATTTTAGTACAATTTCATAAATGTGTTGATATGTGTAAGTGGGTTTTAATAGGTGTAGGGGCCCAAATTGGGACTCCAAAAATCAGCACCAGCAGTGACAATCTTTAATGAATACATACTATTAACAGATCTAGTGACGGTATGATACTTGTTGGTCGTTGGAAATGTTAACCCTTCAGACAAAGGTTCCAATATTAATGAACCTTTAGTGACACTAGTCAGGCCAGTGAATATTTGAACGAGAAAATATTGCTGCTCTCCGATATTAACTAAACGAATAGATATGTCAAAATATAAATAATTAAAAAGAATGTGAATAAAGAATATCAAGACTTACTTTCTTCCGGAGCTATTATTTGAGCCCTCAAAACTGCGGGATGTTCATTAATTCTGAAAAACTTTTTTTTACTTTCGTTTAAAAAGTTGTGTGTGAAAACTATTTTGCCCACGGACATGCGAACATTTTCAACGACGTAATTTCCTGATGCACTGTTCTAAAAATATTCGTCCAGAAATAGACATTTTAAAAACAATAATAATAGAACAGGGTGAAATTTGAGTTGCGAAATAGTGAAATCCGCTTTGTAAATCGGGTTAGGGTGAAATCCGCGTTTTATTATGTTTTTATTATATAAAAGCGGATTTCATCCTCATGTGATGATCACAGCGGATTTCACTATTTCGCGACTCAGGTTTCACCCTGTCGTATAATAATAATGATGCTTTCTTAAATATAAAATATATGTCAAATTACACTTACATCAGAATATAGTTTATATGTATTCAATCCATGTTTAAATTCCTGATTTAGAATTTCAAACCAAATTTCTTCGCTCTGACCACTTA